TGCGTTTAGCCTAGTTTTATTTCTCTGTGTGTACCACTGGGTTACCCAAGGGTGTGGCTTTTATTCTGCTTCTCTCTATATACCATGTGTTTTCTCTTCTTAAACACTTGGAATGTGGTTTTGTTTCATGCTTTGAATTAAAAGTACTGGATCAAATGATACCATTGATTTATAACCCCAAATATAATAGCTTTATCTTAATCCTCATTATTAATGAATATATTTGATTTCCTTATTCACATCTCCCTGGATGACATCCTGTGAATTTCTTGACTCCCTCCATCTTAAACAATTTCTCCACTGCTTGGTGGGTTCCTAAGTCCTCCATTTTTTGCACTTAAAGATATTGTCCTTACAATGTATGCCTCCTCATTTTCTATGGTTGACTACATAGAAAACTATTCACTTAATTCATCTAAAATGCATTATGTTTAAAACATTAGATTCATATTCTATTTTTTAAATTTATATCAGTGGAGGGAACGTACAGGGTGTTTTGTTTTTCCTAGTACAGAGCTGAGTGCTGAAATAGTCCATTACTACACCACGAGTGTCAGAAACAATCAAGGAGAAAGTGAAATGCATTGTAAAACAACAGCCAAAACAATAAAGCTAAACTATTCAGGAAAAGGAACGACGACACTCCAAAATAACAACTCTTCTTCTGGAAAGAGGTTTAGAGTTATTGTAGATTATTCCTTGATTACATCGAGTCATTAAATTGTAATCTACTCAGACATAGACCTATTCATCTTCATCTTCCCTGGTGATTGACACCAAGTTTTATGGATAATACTATCTCCACCAGTGTCTGCTAAATTGAATGTGAGACTTCTGGCAAAAATTGGATGTGGATAATGAAATATATGACAATATACTTCCATTGTAAACCTGAGACTTTTATAAAAAATGTATTTTTATATGCAATTCTTATTGCTATAGTGGATGGAATACTATATATGACAAGGATGTCAAGTATTTTAGAGATTAGAACAGTTTAAAAAGAAACTGCTTGTTTTTCCTTCTTAATTCACAATGCTACACAGCTCATCACTGTTATGCAAAGAAAGGACTCCATAAGTGGGAAAACCATAGTAGACCTGTGTGACCATGTCCTTTACTTTGTTTTGGTCAGGGGAGGTAGGCATTAACAGTTGATCCTTCCTCCCTTAGGGAGGAGAGAACACAAATACTTCACTGGTCCTTCCTAGCTTCTGAATATATTTGCTATGTGATGGTGACTTTAAAACATAGAGTTATTTGTGTTAGTGAGTGACAGAAGAGCTTTGTCTTTTACTTTATTCCTAATGCAGAAGTTAAGTGCTTACTTAATGCTTTAGGGAGGCAAAATGGGAACTTGAAAGATGTCTGACAGCAACAGGCCCAGTGCAAAGATCAGAGTAAGAAGAACTGCTAATACCTGCCCAGCAGAATTTCCCAGTTGATCAAAGGTGTCAGTGAATATCACAGGTAGGGCCTGAGGGGAAACAGCTCCTGAACATTCACTATGCCTTAGTGTTAGGGAAAGGAGAACAACTGTATGAGAACTGTCACTGTACAAAGACAATCAGGAGAGAGAAACCTACAACACACTGGTGGAGTAGTTATCTACAGCCTTAAGGATGGGGTATCCATTTCACACATGTATCATCAGCTTGAGAGGAAGGTTCAACAAAGATTGACAGAGGGGTGTCACTCACCCCTGGAGCCACACTGCCCCTCTAAGCCTTCCTTAATGGACTTGTTTTTCAGCTGAAGGAAGCTGGGAATAGAGGATAACACCTGAATTCAAATGAATGTTCATTCCAATGGCATTGAGATTTTTAAATAGATTAGCTGATAACTCACCAGACTGGGATGAGCAACTTGGAAAGCCATAAAGTGTTGCTGATAAGCAATGTAAATTCTGCATCCTGCTCCCACTTACTAAGTTCTAGGGTCAGTCCTCAGTAGCATTAATAGCAGCTGCTCAAGGAGAACTCTTCCTTGTTTGTAAATTACAGAATTGAGACTATCCATTAAATCTACAAACATAATGGTATTAGAGAATATTGTGGAAAGGTGTATTTGTAGTCCAAAAAATTTTCTGTATGATTTTAAAAAAGAAAGAGCTATTTGACATTGAGTGTGCACACAGTCCAGGAGACATTAATCACTGTTTTGATGTGACAATAGTAGAGGACACCCATTAAAAGCAGGGAAATATTTGGAGAGGAAACAATTTTTACCTAGAAAGCCACATAGAATGCAATTATTTGACTTTAAATAAAAACAGGGTTGGTAAATTAATAGGAAACATATTCATAGTTGGTTAATAAGAGGAAAATTATGTTTAGTGAATAACCTGTCCCTCAGTATAAAACCCTTGAATTTACTGTGGAAAGAACTAACAGATATTGTGGATTACAGACAATACAGTGTGGATTACGCCTATGCATAGCTTTCTGCTTCCTTCATTTTCAGCTAGCTTTCTAGCCCCACTCATGCTCTTCACGAACTTCTTTGGTTGTGTCCTGCTCACAGTGCTGACATGTCTACAAAAGGAACAGCCCTCACGTCTGCACAGACTGGCACTGTGCTTTTGTGGCAGAAAACAACCACAATGACACCTCAGTTCCATTCTGCTGAAAATATGAGAGTTTTGCCTCCAAAGTACAATGTAGGACAAATCTAGCATGTTAAGACATCTAACTAATCAGATTCAACTGGTTAAATGTAAAAGGCCATGACTTGTTCAATGAAGAAAATTTCAAGTTTCTGAAGACACCTGATTACAGTCAGCTCTCCACACTTGTGGTCTTCACATGAGGGGGGTCAACCAGCCTCATACAGAAGCAGTCAATCAAAAGTAGCACTTGTGCTGAACACATTGGAGATTTTGTGCATTTATCATTACTCTATAAAAATACAGTATAGTAACTATTTCCATAGTGCTTAGACTATCTTAGGTTTTTAATTAGTAGGAATGATTTAGTATAAGGGAGTATGTGTGTAAGTTTTATGTAAACCCTATCAGCACTTTCCACAAAGGACTTGAACATCTATGGATTTGGGTATTTCTAGGGAGTCTGGAAACCAACCTCTTGGGCACTGAGAAACAACTTTATTTAATTGGTGATACAAAATATTTGATGTTCTTAAGTTTTTTAACTTTATTCCTATGACAAGTGTACATTACTTGAATATGGAATTACTTTGTATTCATATGTAAGGCAATACTACAAGTTCTCCTATGTATTTGCTTTCTAGATAATGATTGCTTTTAGTGTAAGAAAAACCCTCCACAGATTACCAGCAACCTACTTTGAATATAGCTTTTGAATAGGATGGCATATTAATGGTTCTCAAATATGACTATGGCTCAGAGGCCACATGGAAGTTTATTGAACCATGGATCGAGGGAGGTTGCATGAGACTGCAGCAGGACCTGAGGATCTTCATCCCTGATGGGTTCCTGGGTATGAAGATGATACTAGACTGTGGACCATTTATAAGTTTCAAGTACCAATGGGGACAAAAATCATGTTTTTGGTTAAAAAAAAAAAGAGAAAGTTCTGACATTTTCAAAATTGTAAGTAAAATAAACTTAGAGAAAAAAAACAAAACAAGATCTAAGTATCAGTAAATGCTTAATTAATTACTAAAGCAAAGTAGCATGGCATTTACATACAAATAACTCTAGTGAATTAACAGATTCATCACTTAGCTGCTGAAGAATATCCAACAAAGAGTAGGATTTTATTTCAACAAAATACCATTGCATGGGAAACATAATAATATAAAATTATATTGTAAAAAAAGGAAGTGAAAATTTCCACCTATTTACACATGGGAAAACAGGCAATTCTAGTATTTTGAAACAACATTTACTAAGTTATGAAAAGACCTAAGACAGTTCAAAGAAAATATCAAAGTATAAATTAGTGAGCAAATAGCATGTAATTAGGTGACAGATAGACTTTGGTTTCACCTTTGGGTAAAGTGTTGCATATTTCCCACACATTTTCTATCATCACACATATCTGAGCATATTTATATGAGTTAGAGATGAACTTGTGATTCATGCCTTATTCAATGAGCTTCTGTATTATAAATTTATGAACTTATAAGAAAAAAGAGCTACAGAACTGGATAATGCCAAAATAATTCTAAAAGTGTAAAACATGTCTATCAGCTTAAATGTCTTAAATTTTTCACATAGAACACTGCAATAAGCACATTCAATTAATTAGCCCCTTACTATATATCACTTAACAATTACATTGTATAATTTGTACTATATCTGATTTTCTCCTTGTATGTATATGCCATATTTGATGTATCTGTAAATTTTAAAGACAAATATTAAAATACTTAATATGATGAAGAATTATGTAAAAAATTTATTGGACTCAGTTGAAATTTCCAATTATGATTTCTATCTTTTTTAATTCTTGGGCATTTTCCAGTGGATATGCAGTGAATGTCCAACACAAATTCTGCACACACTGAAGACTGCCATCCAGGTAAGGAGGAAGGCTTTGCCCTGCCACTGGGCAATCATTCTTTTTCTTCACAAAAATCTCAATATCCTTCTTACACCCCAGAGCATGCTAATTTAGTCACTGACCTCTCTCTCACCCTCCTTAATATTTTTGTGAGTCCATTTTTATTGATTCCAGAATGTCCTACAATGCATTTTGGTCAAATTCAGACCCCTCCCAATTCTCTGGTCCCTTCACACTACCAGTCCCCCATCTCATGTCCTCCATTATTGTGTGTCCCTTTCTTTGTATTCTTTATTAATTTTTTAAAAAAATCATTGTTTTTTGTAAAAGTTTATGGTTGCTAATCCAGACCTCCCAGGTGCTCCTGGCTGTGGGTCCATACCTTGGAGTCTGGTCACCTGACTAGACAGCACACCATTAATCAAAACTGACTCTCCCTCTCCCAAGATTCACCAGTTGCCAGTAGATCTTCAAGAAATTATTGTTAATATTTGCTGTAACTTATACACTTACAATCAGGAGGCATCTTTTCCAAAAATGTTGAGTAATATTCTTTTACAAGCTCAAAATTTTCTTGATTAATACTTTCTTGCAAAGAAACGTCTCCAAACCTGAAAATAGAAAAAAAAAAAAAAAAAGCAGTTAGGCTTGGAACTTGTGCACTCCTTTGCCATCTTTCCACTCTCAGACTAGGCCAGGAACAGCTGTTCTTGCACCCTGGTATACTCCTTAGAACTCTCCCACTGCTTCACAATCTCCATACTCACAATTCTGATAGTAATTGTCTACCTTGCTCACTGGACCAGACTGGAATCACATCATTACCCCAATTATAAATAAGTAAATTAAATAAATAATAAGGAAACCTGAAGTACAGACCAACTATCTATTCTTGATCAGAAATCAACCAAACTATGACAGCAATGAAAACAAACCAAACTTCTAAACAACAAAGGCAGGCTAGAATTTCATATCAAACATACAACCAAAAAAATAAAAGCTCCTATGCCCAGGTCATAATGCACAAAAGCACAAATAATATGAAAAAAAAAGATAATATGTTCCCACCAGTTCCCATCAGTCCTACAGAAGTGCTTGACAATGAGAACTACCCAGAGGAAATCCAGGATACAGAATTTAATAGAATAATCATGAACATGAGGAAAGAATTCAAAGACATTAAAGAACACACACACAATTCAAGAAATTCAAATAGGATGGGAATAAACTCCTAACTGAAACTCAAGAAAATACAAATATTATAGTTAATGACAAAGATAGTTCAGAATCTGAAAAGTGAATTTATAAACGAGACAGAAATATTGAAGAAGACACAAGCTGAGATGAAGCTGAAATTGAAAAACTCAGTAAGTTAGGAGAATGAATCAAATGGAAAACAGAATATCAAGACAAGAGGATAAAGATGGAGAACTGGACTGCTCAAGCAAATGATATATATGTAAACTTAAAGGACAGGAATGGGACATCCAGGAACTGTGGAGATTAAGCAACATACAACTGAAATCGAAAGAAGAAATCAAGAAGGAAAGAAAAGTATTCCTGGAAATAAATGAAGATGAAAATACAGGGGCTGGAGAGATGGCTCAGCGGTTAAGAGCACTGACTGCTCTTGCAGAGGACCCGGGTTTGATTCCCAGCACCCACATGGTGGCTATGAACTGTCCTTAACTCCAGTTCCAGGGGAATCCAACGCCCTCTTTTGACCTCCGTGGCATTGCATGACACGGGTGAACTCACATACATGCAGGCAATACACTCGTACACACAAAATAAAAATAATAAATAAAATATTAAAAAAGAAAATACAACACAATAAAACCTCTGGGAAACATTAAAAAAATCCTAAGAAGCAAGTTTATAGCTCTAAGCACCTACATTAAAAAATCAGAGGAGCACAAATAAATGACATAATAAAACTCCGGAATCTGGAAAAAACAAAAACAAAACAAACACAAACTCAGTAGATGAGAAAAAATAATAAAAATATGAATAGAAATCAATGAAATAGAAACAAAGAAAACAATACAAAGTATTAATGAATTTATTAGGCAGTTCATTGAAAAGATAAACAAAATAGATGGAGCCTTAGTCCAGTTAACCAAAAGAAAAAAGAGCAAACTCAAATCAACAAAAACAGAGATTAAAAATAAAAAATTACCACAGACACCAAAGTAATCCAGAACATTATAAGAAATTACTTTAAAAACCTGTACTCTGTTAAATTAGAAAATCTAAAAGAAATGAATGAATTTCCAGATTAAAAAGAATCACTAAAGTTAAACCAAGAGATCAACAGTTTAAACAGATCCATAACAAATAAGGAGATTGAAACAGTAATTCAAAGCCTCTTGACTGAAAAAAAAAAAAAACACGTTAAGATGAATTCACAGAATTTTACTAGACCTTCAAAGATGAATTACAACCAATATTGCTTAAATTATTTAAAAATGATAGAAACTGACAGAGAACTTCCAACCCTCTCCAAAGCCAGTATTACTCTGACATCCAAACCAGATGAAGTCACAACAAAAAAGAAAACAAGTCAATATCCCTAATGAAAACGTAAAAATTCTCAATAAAATATGTGTACATCATACAGACACATCGAAAAGATGATCCAACATGACCAAGAAAAACTCGAGGAATTCTATTAAAATGGTGAACAAAACAAGACTATCCCCTATCTCCACTTCTTTTCAATATAGTGCTTGAACCCTAATTAGAGCAATAAGACAAGAGAAGGAAATTAAAGGGTGCTAATTGGAAAAGAAAGAGTCAGATTATCTCTATTTGCAGATGACATACATAAGAGATCCCAAAGTTATAAAAGAAAAGTTCTAGAACTGATCAACACTTTCAGCAACATGGCAGGATGAAAAATCAATATACATGGGTCTTGTGTATGCGGACACAATTGGGGGCTATGGGAGGGTGCCCGTGGGGAAGGGGGTATAAAGATGATTAAGATTGATTGAGATGTTCTGTATGAAATACACACACACACACAAAAGGAAAGTATAACCAGAGTAAAGTCATCAGTATACTGCTGTAAGAGTTTAAGGGATTACTCTTCCCAGACATTAGGCTTAAGATTATAGAAAGAGTTATTTAGACAATTATTTCTCATTGATGATTTTGTTCCTAACCAGAAAGTGCTGCTCAGATGTAAGACTTCAAATCTTGGTCTCCAATACTGTAGTGCCCACCTGTAGCTAAGGGAGACAACCAGCTATTGTTCTAAAATGATGGATAAATTTGTTTTCTCCCCCATCTAGAAGCCTTTGAGAGGGAACTGACACTGATTCTAACCACTCCAATAGATATCAAAATACCTGAAAGCAAACCCTGAATCTATCATTCTAGAGTCCAGCCTTGGAAGACAAAAGAAAAATGAGGAGGAACACAATAGAAGGATGCTTTTGGAGCTCTCATCAAGATATTCCAATGGACTCTCATATGAACATTTGAAAATTTCCCTTTTCTGACTTTTTTCTAGTTCCCTGTTTAGAACTTGTAATGCTAATTACTCTTACCTTTACTTCTCCTTCACAACTCCTATTCAGGATTCACAGACTTTCTTTTCATCTTAGAGACAAGAGTTATGCAATTTGGGAGTCTGTTAGATAGATCCACAGAAGGGGTACTCCAATTGCCTCATCCTGTGCCCTGTTCAGCATGGAAGATACCAGAGCAGTCGGGGTCCCTTTTCCCTATTGGCAATTTGGGTAACCCCTTCAGAGGATGGTGTGATAAGAATAGGAGGTAGGAATTGGCTAGGCAGTTAGAGTAAAAAGACCCCCAAAAAGTAGCCAGTTTCTTGGCTAATAGTCAAAATGTCCTTGGGACTGTTAGCAACATACTCTGTCCCAAAGTCCAAAAATGTCAAAAGTATTTGGGAGCTTGTATCTAATCCTTGAAATATTTTAGGGTTACATCTTCAGAGGGGGGAATGTTAGAGTACCCAAAAGCCCCACAAAAAAATAAATAAATGAAGAAAAAAAAAGGAAAGAAAAAGAAAAAAGTGATGGGGAGATATGGGAGGTGTTGGAAAGGAGGGAGTGGGCATGGATTTGATCAAAACATATTATATGCATGTATGAAATTTTCAATAAAGTTTTTGTAAAAGTTAAAAAAATGTCCTATAAAAAATCAATACACAAAAATCAATAGATTTTCATATATAATAATATACCATCAGAGAAAGATATCACAGAAACATTCACTTTACAATAGTATCAGAGAACTAAAATAACTAGGAATATACATAACAAAAGATATTAAAGATCTATTCAATGAAAACACTAAATCTTTGATGAAAGAGACTGAGGAAGACACAAGGAGATGGGAAGATCTCCTGTGCTCATGGATTGGTAGAGTCAATATTGTGAAAATGACTATCCTACCAAAAGCAACTCACAAATTTAATGCAGTCTCAATCAAAACATCCCCAGATTTGACACAATAATAGAAAACACATTCTAAAATTTATATAAAACTAAAAAAGGCCCTAGATAACCATGGTATTCCTAAGTGCAAAGAGCAATGCTGGAGGGATTACCATGCCAGATTTTAAACTGTATTACAGAGCCATAATAATAAAAACAGCATGGCATTGGCACAAAAGCAGATTTATAAGTCAATGGAACAAAGTAAAGATCCCAATATGCACGCATGTAATTACAGTCATCTGATAGTTGCCAACAATGCCAAGAACACACACTGGAGGAAAGACAGCATTTTCAACCAATGGTGCTGAGAAAACGGCATCTCCACATATAGAAGAATGAAATGAGATTAATGTCTATCACACTGTGTAAAACTGAACTCTAACTGAATCAAAGACCTCAGTGCAAAACCTGAAGCACTGAAACTGCTAGAAGAAAACACAGGCAGCACCTACACTGTATAGAATCGGAAAGGACTTTCTAAATTGGACTTCACTCAGTGAATGATTCATAAACATTCACTAATTATGAATTTTTTATTTTATTGTTTTTACTTTCTTATTGTCTTTTTTGAGACAGGGTCTCCTTGTAGCCCTAGCTGGCCTGGAACTCACAGAGATTCACCTGCCCCTACACCCCAAATCCTGGGATTAAAGGCATGCACCACCATGCCCTGCTATTTTTTTTTTATTTTTTAATGTATCATTTTCTTTTATATATATATGTATGTATTGCTTGCATATGTGTAAGGGTACCCGTGTCATGCAATGCCTTCAGATGTCAGAAGAGGGCATTGGATACCCTGGAACTGGAGTTATGGATGGTTGTTAGCCACCACGTAGGTGCTGGGGACTGAACCCTGGTCCTGTTAGAGCAGTCAGAGCTCTTAACTGCTGAGCCATCTCTCCATCCCTATTTTTTTAATTTTTAAGCTGAATAATATTTGATTAGTTCTAGCAGACAAAGTTGCTAAATATAACTCATGTTTATTTATTTTAAAATGGTCATATACAATACATGCTGCTTATTTGTCATGTATATGAAAGAAATAGTACAGCTAGATTTATGCAGTATACCTAACATGTACAAGCTGCCTGGAGAAGATCAAAATTCTGTTCCAGAAAAATGAGTTCAAAGAACAGAAAGGAAGTAATCTGCTGGACCCAATAGCACATGGATGTCGGACGTTGAGACTGTTTCCCTGCTTCTCTCTGCATTTCCCCAATTCTGCCATTTTGTCACCTTTTCAAGTCCTGTTGGTCTTACATACCTTCCTTGTATAAAGAAACGGACATTTTAATTCACAACAGAGTTGGAGGAGATGAGGAGAAAGCTTTCAAAATGAAGTGACTGATGTTGAAACATGCAGATTACACAAATGATAAAACTAGTCACACCTAGAGGTTAGCTCGTCCTTGAAAATGCTAACTTGCTCTTAAACAGTCTGTAGGAGTCAGAGATTACTCTCAAGATCATAATGACAGACCATAACTTGTTTCAAACTCAAGCACCGTATGCTGTTACAGCAAAGATGACACAATTTAGCATGCTTCTTCTATCATTTATGTTCAGGAATATCATTCATCACAGACACAGGATTTGCTGTAAGAAACAAAACAACTCAGATAACTGGAATATGCCCTAATCTCTAATACTGATTTTCGAAAGTGTAATTGTCAAAGAAAATTTATTGTGCAACACAGTGAACGTATATGTTCTGGTATATGCATAGTTTAAAGAAATCAATACTTTCCACAGTTTGAAATTAAACATAATATAAAGCTTTTCCATTTTGTAAATTAACTGGTAAAGATTATGCAAACCTGTGTTGTCCAAGAAGTATGTTTGGGTAAGAAGAGGAGAAAAATAGTTTGAAAAGAAAGGTGACTCGAGACATTCACAGCATCAGTGAACTATAATTACGGTGAAATTTTAATTACTAAAATATATTAGTCTTAAAATATGTTTAACAAATAATGATAAGAAACATGCCAGGTGCTTTATAACTGTGACTTTTGAGGGAAGGTACAGGGACAGAGACTTGTAGACAAGAAAAAAATTTAAATACTAAAATCATCAAATTATCCAAAATTTATGTGGTGAGGAGAATTTTTCTAGCCAGATCTTGTACTCTGATAACTTCTTCCCTAAAATACCTAGAACAATGATCTATAAACTTCAACCATTATCTAAGTTTTCTATAATCTCCACATATGAACCATGTGCCATGCAAGACTTCAGCTGTTGGTTCAAAACAGTGTCTTTTGACAAAAACGCAGGAAAATGTAAAAATCAATTGATTGAGCAAGTCATTCTAAAAAGGTATATTAAATTACTCAGCAGTACCTATTAAAAGAAATAAAACACTAAAAGAGAAAAAGCAAAGCTGAATACCGTCCTTCCGGGTGCACACACCTCTCAGCCAGAGTCTGCTGTTCATTGATTCCAACATTGAACAGAACTGGATACACATGAAGCAACTGTCCTTCTTTAATCTGGAGAGGAAGCAACTCAAACATCGTAGCTGGAAGCTTGACCTCCACCACATAGTGCTCACTGAGGTAAAGGAAAGAGGGGAGAGTTGGCACTTCCTTCATTTCTGTGTCAGTGCAGACTCAGTGGGATGGAAAATTCAATAGAATTGGAATATATAAACTGATTTAGGCTTTTGGCTCTCATATATTTTCAATTTTTCATTCAGTCAAGAAATAAAAACCAATCTTATTATTATATGGCATGTATAATTGACAGATACATATGATAAAGTCATCTACATCACTCTGAACTCCATTAGGAAATGGAGAATATTTTGCTTATTTTTGAAAACCCATGCTCATCTACATAGTCTCAATTTATTTCACATATTTTTATAATCTATGGTGCTGGACAGATGCCTCGGCTGTTGAGAGCATTCTTGTTGGTGCAGACAACCCAGTTTTGTTCCCAGCAACCACATGGCTGTTCATAACCATCTAGTTCCAGGGGATCTAGTGCCCTCATCTAGTCTCTGGGGACATGAGACATGCATGTGGGGCTCATACATAAATATAGGCATACACTCATATCCATCAAATAAGAATACGTAATTTTTTTTTTACAAATCTCATTAGTTCTCCAAATAAGGAAATAAATAAGATAGGGATCTCAATATCATGAAGCTTACTAAGCCAAAAAATTTATATCAGTGTTATGATTTAAATGTCAACTGTCCCATACAATTGTTGGACTATTGGTCCCTACCTAATGGTGAGGTTCAGGAGGTGTGGGATCAGCTGGAGGGATGCGGCCACTATGTGTGTTTGGGGAAAAGGTTTATAGCCTAGGCCTACATCAGGTCCACAGAGATTTGAGGGGCTTGGTCACAGGCTTCTGTTTTATACGTTTTAAACATACTTTTTAATTTTTTTAAATTTATGTGTGTGTATGTTTGTGTTTGTATGTGTATATGCCTCATATGTGTGGATGCATGCTGAGGCCAGAAGAGGGTGTCAGACCTTGGGAGCTTGAGTTTCAGGCGGTTGTAAGCTGTGCAGTGTGAGGGGTGGGAACCAAATTTGGGTACTCCAGAAGAGCAGCAACCACACTAGCTACTGAGCCGGATCCCCAGTCCCCTCAACTTATTATTTTGTGATGCAATACAGGTTTAGTACAAAGATGTGAAGAGTTTATCCCAAGAAGTTAAGGAAATCCATGGACTTTAAGATGTTTGGATCATAACACACATATTAAGAAAATGAGATAGGACAAATAGTGAGTCTCTTTGTTAGATTTTAAAAAATTTATCCAATAAAACATTTTTTTTTTGGAAAACACTATTAGTCATAGACTCATGCTTACTTCTTCATAGCTGTAAGCTAGAGAATCACATTAGCACTACACTTAGAGGACAATATAAATTTTCTTTGTTTAATTGGTGACTAACAAAAGGCTGGTATTTACTCCAAATCTTTTGAAAATATTTAAATAGCAATGAATCAGTCAATGTTTACATATTAGTTTGAAGGTGAAATTCATTGTAAAGTTGCTCTGTAATAAATTTCATTGAAGATGCAACTGACACAAATGCATATATTTTAAACACATGGTTCAAAGTTGTGCAATCAAAATGCTAATCTAGTTCCTTAATTTTTCAGTCTCCTTAAGAAGCTTTCTCAAGACTGTCAACTCCACTTCCATTGGAAGTCCTTGGAAGTCCCTGCAGACTTTCTCTTTCTACATTTTTCATAGGAATAGAATCATACCGTGTGAAATCTTTTCTGTCTGACATTTTCTATCAACATGTTTTCAAAGTCATCCATGTGGTAGCATTTATGACTGACTTTTATTACTAAATCATCTTCTAGAATACCAGTATGTTTTGTGTGTGTGTGTGTGTGTGTGTGTGTGTGTGTGTGTGTGTGTTGTGGTTTTAAGGGAAATGTACCCCATAGGCTCATGCATTTGAACACTCATCCCCAGATCATGGTCCTGTTGGGAAGGTTATGGCACATGCAGGAGCTCTAGTCTTTCTAAAGGAAATGTGCCACTGGGGTTGGGCTTCGAGGATACAAGTCCTGGCTCCACCACTTGGTCTCTCTTCCTGCTTTTCATTTGCATATGAAGTGTCTTCTCTCTGCTTCCTGACTGCCAGGCTGGTCTCAGGCTCCTGCCATCACACTTTCTCCACCATGATGGGCTGTATCCCTTCAGGACTATAGTCTAAAATAAACCTTTTCTTCCATAACTTCCTTTTTATGGGGGTATTTTATTAAAACAACAGAAAACTAGTATAGAATATATTTGTGGCACTGGGGAATGGAATCCCAGGTCCAGTTTTATGCAGTGCCAGAGACTGACTCAAGAGCTTCATGTGTGGTAGGCAAGCACACTATTGACTGAGCTGTACTCCATAAGATAGCAATTTTCAATGACTCAATTTTCAATGACCCAGTCTCTTGTGTTTTAGGAGAGGGGCCTTTCAAGATGGTCATTTTGTCATTCTACAAATTCTGCAGTTATCAGTTTGACAAGTTTTGAATTTAAATGCAGCTTGAATAACTTCTTTGGCAAAAGCATCCTTCTCTTTGCTTACAGCAAATGGCTGGCAAACTTATGCATTGTGAGGATCAAGTTTGTGACATTTGATAATAAACTTTGGACTAATATACAGAGCTGCACTATTTTCCAGGTGTGTATATGAACCATTTAATTCATTCTCTTTCAATGAATACCAAATGAAGCATTAATATCCAGACAAGACCTTTACTTTCATGCAGATTCGGAGTTTTGCTTGAGTTTATCTTCATCTAACCATGTGGCAATGCCTGTTTGGTATGCATCTTTCCCACACAGTTTTAAATAATTATCACATGTTTCCCATAGGCAAGAAAACAAGTTTACTTTGAGCTTTTAAAAATGCCTTGTCTCTTCTCTGTCTATCTGTAGCATGGGAAGTCTCCCCTGTGTACCTTCATGCTCTCGTTGTTACCTAGGACTCTCAGAATACCAGCAACTTCAAAACGCTAACACTACACTGGCTGAAATGTAGAGGACTTCTGTTCAAAACTTACAGAATATAATCTTACACACCATCATTTTTCTTAATTATTTCTGGTATTTGGCCCATCATATTCTGACCTCTGAAGCTATTTATTTAAAACCCTTCTCGGAAATCTCAAAGTCTGAGAGTGAATTGTCCAAAATAATTAAGAAAAACGGTGCCGCATGCACATGCCATAAGAATATATCTTTCCTAAAATGTTGCTGCTTTTAACTGATTTTAATTTGAAGTCATGTCAAGAATTATGATGCTATTAACTGAACTATTCCCACAAAAGTCAAAACACCCAGAGCTTTGGACTAGAAAGTGAAGAAAAGTCTTCTTGTGCATGCTGCTGTTTTAATTTCTTTTATTTCTGGATAATTACCAACCTTGACCTTGTGACACTATACAAACACTTGGGAAATTCAAAGAAATTTTCTATATCTCCCTCTGTCACATCACCTATATTTATTTCTCACCAAAAAGGGAGATAACAAAAGGGAACACCCCCAACCAAACCTGAATAATACAAGGCAAATTAACTAGATGTTCAGCGGTGTGACAACGTTTGGGAAGTGGCAACCACTCACCGTCTTCCTGTTATAACTGGCAGGACATCATTGGATTTGGCTTCTATTATTTTAAATGCAACTTTCTTCAAATCTGAAATGCCAACAGCCATGTCCTCCAGCATTCCAATTTCATCACCTAAACAAAAAGAAATAATGTCTCGTTACAAACAGACTACTAAAAGAAAATATTCCTGGTTACTGTTCCTCCCTGCTGGAATTTGTTCTAGTATTTTAATGAGTGAGTTTCTGAATGCAGTGTGTGGTCTGCTCTGCACACTATTGCTCATGAGCTATGAAGGTTTCCATCTGTAAAGTAAGAACAGTTTCAATGGGTTTCAAAGTCAATGCTTCCTTTGAGGGAAGAAGAATGTTCACTTTTATTGGGAGGCAAGAGAGTGCTTTTTAACCCCTTTCAAAACAAAGTGTCATGTAGTTATGTTTGACAGGACTGATATCTGATTTCTAGAAATAATAGAGAAAAATGAACTGATCAATTTATCAATTGATCAATTACCTCATGTTAATTTAGTTTCCAAATACTGACAAACACAGCATGAAGACATGGTGAATATTTTAGGTTAGCACTGCTCAACAGAAATAGAAAACGACCTATATATAACTCTAGATTTTCTGAGTAGCATAGCTTTAAATAAAAAAATTAAACAAGGCAACAATAATTTTAGTAATATCTTGCACATAATCCAATACATACAAAATGCTATTTCAAATGCAAACTAATATCAATTTATGAATACTTAGTATAAAATTCTTTATTTGCGAGCCTTTGAAATCTGCTGTTTACATCTAGAACATATTGATTTGGGCTAGATGTGTTCCAAGACTTCCATAACCCGATGAGACTCCTATATTGGACAGTGTAGTTCTAGGCATTAAGGTATCGAAACTTAAAATCTAGTCAATGAAACTGTGTTGTCAAAAAAGCAAAGCCAGATGGTTTCTCAGGAGTCCACTGTGAAATAATGCATGGTCCCATTTTCAAAACACAATTTCAAGGTGAGTGAGAGCAAATACTGAAAGCTGCATTATTTCTTCAATACTTGGCACCACAAAGTTTACTTCTTAACTTTGTACAGAGTGGCACAGAAATGGAATCGATGTGCTCTCTCTGAAGAGCAGATGAACTGAAGCAGTACTCACTGTAGGTGCTCAGCAGCCCTTCATACTGCACCATCAGCCCCACGCTGCCAAGCTGCTGAAGAAAGTCAGGGTCACGCAAACTTGTATGCAATTTAATGATAAATCCGCAAACCAATCCAGCAAGCTAAAAAAATAAAAAAAAATCATTGAAGAAATTCACTGAAGGGCAGCAAACTTATTGCTTCAAATTTTTAAATTTTTGGACTTTTGAGATATGACAGATTTAATTAAAATTCCTCGAGTGTGTATAACAAAGCCACTGCAATTTTCACATATCTGTTAAAATAAACTGATAGTCTTTGATCTAGGATAGCTTTGTAGAAGAGGATTGGGTAAATGACAGTGAAGAAAAGCTAAGTAAATGGATTTCACAGTCAAAGTGTCTTCAATTTGTGTATCTGTTACTTGTAACCATGGCACAATTAAACTCATTTACTACTTCCAAATCATATTACTGTTATTATTTTGTATATGTGAGAACTGTCATTGAAAGGACACAATGAAGAAACTTGTTTAAGGTGCAGTATAACGCCTGGTTAACTCCATTTGCCACTGAATCACTCATATAATGGAATCAGGAAAATTGGTCAAAATATTCCCTTTCATAGAATATTTACAAAGTAAGGTATTTTTGTCTTCGTTCTTTCTTATGCTTTACCTCTAGGAGCATAAGGGGTGAAGAGGAGCAAAGCAGCCAGCCTGTTTTATGACGGAGCTGGTCCTGAAGTCATGATTGATGTTGCGTACTTGCAAAGGAAGGGGATTTCATCAACCTTTACATCCTCTGAGTCTTTCAAGATTGTTTTACAAACAGAGAAGAGATCAGTGTGAAGCCCTGTCTGAGACTGGTAGGTGTCCTGCATAGCTTTAGCTGTCAACGTCACACACCTGTGAAGGGGGAATCGCAATTGGGGGATTTCTTCTATTGGACTGGTCTTGTAGGCTGGTCTATGAGCATTTTCATTACTGCTGAGTGGTATGGGACGCCTACCCCACTGTGGGTGGTGCTGCACCTGGATAGGTGGTCCTGGGCTGTATAATACGGCAGGCTAAGCACAAATCAGAAGAGCAAGCCAGTGAGCAGCGTTCCTCTGTGGTTTAGGTTCCTGCCCTGTGTTCCTGCCCTAGTGACCTGGAGGATATAAGGTAAAATAAACCCTTTCCTCCAAAATTGGTTTTGGTCAGTGTTTTTATAGCAGCAATAGAAAGTAACTAAGATTATGGGAGAGCTGAGTAAAGACGGAGTTACATGCAATCAGATCCAGTTTGCTGAGTCCCTACTCATCACCTGTAGGGTAGGGAAGTGGTCCCTTGCCTGAAGGCAACGTTAAGAAACAAGGAGTGTTATTTTCTTCCTCACAGACTTCATCCACTGTTCAGTATAATACACATTTCAGACTTGGCCTTCTCTCTTCAGAAAGAAATACTTAAGGTTTCATAAACTATACATGAGATATTCACCTCATATTTATTATGAGTAAATCATGGAGTACTGCAATTTAAGAAAGATTTTTTTTTTAGAATTCCATTATTTTTATTTATTTTTTATTGAATTTTTGTTTATTTCATACAGAACATTTCAATCAATCTTAATCATCTTTATACCTCCTTCACCACTGGCACCCTCCCATAGCACCGGCCCCCCTATGGAATTCGTACGTTCTGTCATTTGTCTTAAGGCCTATTGTGTCAAGACAGTGTCCCCAGATGTCCCTCAGTGCAAGTTCATCTACTGAGATGTAGTCAGTCTATCTAGAGTCTCTCACTTTAGGAAGATCAGCTCTTCCTCACCCAGCACTAATCAGTTGTCAATATTTCTTCAGCTAAGATTGGGGTCAGCTGCCCATTTCCCCAGTTCTACGCTGGGTTTTTGTCTGTTTGAGTTTGCGTGAGTCATGTGCATGCTGACACCATTGCTGTAGGTTCATATGAACAGGGTCCCAGGAGCTTGTAGGACTCTATTTCCAAATGGTCATGCATAAAATTGTGCAAAGAGTGCAACAAACAACAAACACTTACCGCCTGGCTGAAGACAATGTCTCTTCTGAGTGTTAGCATGAGACACTGGGGCAGGCTGTAGGCTAGTTCCTGAAGCAGCACAAATGTCAGGGACTGCTTGGCTCGGCTCACCACTTCTCCCATGCATTCCTTCAGGGTCAGGATAAGGGGTTGTAGCTGTTCATACCAGTCCTCTGTGGCAGGGGTGCGGAGTAAGGCCAGTGGGAAAGATGAGAAGCAATTTCTGAGTAACTTTTTTTTTTTAACCAGTGAAGTTATATATCCTATAAAAAATTCATAAATATTAAAGTTGAAGATCTATAATTCTAGCAATTCTCTGGAACTCCAAAGGTCTGTAGCCAGACTACTACTGGACTGTTACACTGAGATGTGTGTAAAACACCACACCAGGCTTCCTGTCTGCTCCATGCACCTCTAACCTGGACATTGTCTGTGTCCTAATTAATGGTGTTAGGGAAACAAATTTTACTAGGTTTCTCTCAGTGTTTTCACAGAAACGGGCCATCGAATCAGTTCCACATTCGTAGTGGCCCATTAGGTTGGCATCTTCATGCCATCATTTCTGCTTTCCCCAGTGCCACTTACTCATCTCTCTGCCTGCACATACTCAGTTCATATCCCTTCTCTGGTATGTATATGTCTGTGATATATGCAAGTGTTTGATCGTGTGTGTGTGTGTGTGTGTGTGTATGTGTGAATATGTAAAGACCAGAGATCATGCCCGGTGTTTTGCTCTATTCAGTGAAGGCTTCTTACATCTGCAATTATTTAATAAAGAGCCTACTTGTATCCTAGGATTAAATTCGAACAATGTTTCAATTAATTTTCATGTCATTAATATATCTAGGATTGAGTAACATTGTTTACTTCAGATAAGTGACATCAGTAGGCACCAAGGATGTCCTATGATGTTATATTTTCCAGATTTGTACTCTGGAATATCTCAATCCCTCCCTTTCTAAGTGTTGCCCTTAATATTAAAGATAGAAAGGCTCGTGTGAAGACCACACACAGACGCACACAGACACACACAGACACAGACACACAGACACACAGACACACACATACACACACAAAGACTAGGAGAAAAATTCTAATAAATTTACTCATATTTAGATGTTGGAAATTAATGGTAAATAATTCTATTTTGTGTTTGGTGCTGTCCTGACGAGGTTCCACTACGGAACTGCCAAGCATCATATACAGCCTTTGTGCAGTAGGTGGCGCTGCTTTATCAGGCTGAAGTAGGTCTCTTTTGTCATTCATTTCATTCAGGTAGGGAGGTTCATGGTTTTTGTATATTTGCATAATTCCCAAAGAAATGGTATCCCTTGCTTGAGCACTATAAATCACACTCTTCTGTGTCAGGAGGGTAGTAGTTTGCTCAAGAATGTGATACATTCTTTCTAGCTTGGAAAGAAAAGGTTAAAGTAAGTGTCTACCTTAATCAGAAGAACTCAGATCAAACACGGCTCTTTGTTTTAAAGGTTTTTAAAATAGTATCTTCATAAACTTCTTTTTTAGCATTTAAATGAGAGAGAGGAGTGGGAAATAGGAGAGGGGAGAGGGCTGGGGAAAAGAAAGAGGAGAGGGAGAGAGAGAGGAGGGAGGGAGGAAGGGGAGGAGGGAGAGAGAAAGAAAGACAGGGAGGAGGGAAGGAGGGAGAGAGAATGAGATGGAGAGAAAGGGAGAGAAGAGAGAGAGAGAAAGAGAGAGAGAGAGAGAGAGAGAGAGAGAGGATAAATAATGCCTCACTAGTTTTAAAAAACCAGAAGGAATCATGTTAATCCAATAACCTAATGACAAATATGCATACATTATCTCTACATGAGTCCATGTGTATAGCTAAAGGCTACAT